GTTCTCTCTCCTTCTAGTTTTTTCGGCGAGCTTCGCATAATCGATCGAATGCAGTTCCTCTCCGTCGAGGACACGGCTTGAAAACTCTCTCTCTCTCTCTCTCTCTCCTCTTCCGACGGACACAACACAGAAATGCTGCGATTTCCTCTATCGCCAGCGTGGTCCTTGTCCATTTTCCGGCGAAACTAGCAAAAGGCCAGTCGACTAGGTCCTTTCCTCACCGTTGAGAGCTTAGCCGGCCACCGTATCCATAAATTCCGGCCAAGTTATTACTGGCAATGCTGTATTTTGGGGTATTAGAACTGTTTCTGGTTAATTTTCCAAAAAATTAGCTAATTTCCAGCATTTAGTGGCTAGCTAATGTGATTTTGAATATTTTCCAATATATTTCATAAATATTGATTATGATTAGAAGGTTTTAATAAAAAAATTTTAGTTACTGCCATATAAATTAATTAAGAATTTTGATAAACATGGAGTTATAGTATGAGTTTTAGATAAATTAAATAAAACATATCATATAGATGCTTAATCTTGAGGAATATATAATTAAAGAAAAAGAGTAGCAGTATAATTAAATTATTTTAGAAAGTTGGTAGAAAGTTGGACCTTAAATTATATATATATATATATATATAATTATATATATATATATATATATAATATATATATATATATATATCGTTCTTTAAGGAGAAATAGTTCCTTAATTAGTTTGAAGCATAATGGCTATTTAAGGACTATGAAATAAAAGAGGAATAATTAAATACTTGCTACTATACAATTTATTTTGGAGACAGAAAGTAATTTTTAAGTAAAAGGATAGTTGTGCGGATATTATCATTACTGTTGGAATAGAATTATTATTATATGAATTAAAATGATGTGAATTATGATATATATATATGCGTTCTTTAAGGAGAAATTAGTTCCTTAATTTAGTTTGAGCTAATGGCTATTAAGGACTATGAAATAAAAGAGGAAGTAAATTAAATACTTGCTACTATACAATTTATTTTGGAGACAGAAAGTAATTTTTAAGTAAAAGGATAGTTGTTGCTGGATATGTATCAATTACTTTGGAATTAGAATTATATTATATGAATTAAAATGATGGTGAATTATGTTATATAAAAGATATGTTTATTTATTAGTAATTTAATTGAAGTATTAATTTTAGTGGCTAATGTAGAATGATATATGAGGGTGCACTGAAATCATATTGAAATTTAAATTTATAAGCTAAGAGTTGAATATAAAATTACTATTTATGGTGGTTGGATATTTGAATTGTTGATTGCCCGATGGATGGACTGTATTAGAAATAATTGATAAGTATATTAAATTATTAATATTTAAACAAGTGGAAAGTTTCATTTTAAAGGAAATGCTGCCAGAAATTTTGATAGAATTTAGATTAGTTATAGCAATTAAATGTCTAAGCGAATGTGCATTAGATTAATTCTTTAATTTCTTATTTAAAGAAAGTTATTTGTCTAATGTAGGATTTTCTTTATATTTGTGTTTTATCTAGATCGTCCAAATTCGTTCGCTCCTGCTTGTCAAAATCTAAATTAAAGTTTGATCTTTCTTCTATCATTGTAATAATAAATAATGTATATCACCATCTGCATACATGCACCAATCATGTTGTACTATATAAATATATACATAATACTCAACTTTAGTCTTTGTACTAATATCATCTTATTGAAATATAACTACTCACATTATTATCCACCTTATAATTTTAATATTATATTTATACGACTATTAAATAATTATATACATTATTCATGAGTATTACTTATTAATACACCATAATGATATTTATATGTTACATATTGATTATCGATGTGATCTATTATATTGAATGAATTGTTTGAATTACTTGTGATGTGATAATATTGTGCTTTGTTTCCGTGTGAAATGGGGATGATGTGGGTCACTATGGGATTATGAGGGCAATCTCAGACACCGTCAGCCATTATGGGATATCATCGCCGCCGTGTGCATCCATGTATAAATGATATGAAAAACCACAAGATGGCCTCCTGTTTGTAATGAAAAGAAAAGAGAGAATAAAAAAATAATGAGAGGACTGGTCAAGTGAGGATTAGACCGGTTGGCCATGTATGGGCGATTGGCTCTCTGGTGCACACATGTGGGAGCACGAATTGTTGGGAGTTTCGGTGATGTCACGGAGTAATCTTCACTTGATATAATTATGTGAAGGTAATATTGTTTGTAGATGCTGATGTCGTGACACATACTTGACTAATTGTGTGTTCATTATGTGAAAATTTAAAAGCATTTTGCGTGATTGTTTGAGCTATGTATTATTTATTATTATTCATTGAGTTATAAAACTCACTCGTTTCCTTTAATTTTTTTTCGCAGGAGGTAGACATTTTGCTGATCCAGATAAGCTCTGCATCCTTTTTCGCACAATTATAACAATAATTTCTAGCTTTTTGATAATATTTAAATATACAGTATTGTGTATAAAAATGTATTCGCATACATTTACTGAGCTCCACAATTATGGTGTTTTGTGTTACCTTTTATTATGTAAAATTTATTAGTGCATTATTCGATAACCTGTTGATTTTCTATTTATCTATCCAAGAGTACGAATGGACCAATTTGTCCATATCATGAATGACATGCATTGCATATAAAAAAATACAGGCTCGAGCTATGAATTATTTGAAATATTGAAGTTGGGCTAGAAATATAAATTTATGGTATGACTTAATAACGTTGTAATAGGGCTTATTGTTCCCAGAGTCGGTTTAAGGAAATGAATTCACATGAGTTAGGCTTACTACGAGCCTCGGGGGCCTTCAACTTACCTGAGCTCTAGTGCCTGTCTTGCCCATGGTTTTGACAGGACAATAGACAAAAGTTATAATCAATATTTAATATTAAAAAATAAAAATAAGTATAAATAACAAGTAAAAGTGAGCAATGACAAAAAAAAATTAAACGAGTACGAATAACGAGTATAATCAACATGCAGCACGCACTATAAAAAAACTAGTTTGTATGTAAAAATTAAAACCTCTAAAAAGTATTGCTACTAGCGTAAAAAATGGGTTAATCTATAAAAAAACTCTGACTTATGCAACTTGTTACAAAAACACCCTAAACTGATCTCCGTCCCCCTGACACTCCAAATTAAAAATTTTGTATTATTAGCACCCTAAATTCAATTTCAGCTAGGGTTTTAAATAAAAAACTGATATAATGGATCCCACAGAAATGTTGAGTTAACTTAACCCAAGGTATCAAAACGCTTTTGATACCAATATGCACCGTTTCACTAAGTTGTATTTTTTTCCCAAAATTCCTAATCCTTAAAATGACTCTCTTCTCTCTACCTCCCCTCTTCCTTCTTCTCCTTCTTCTTCCTTTGTGATAATGGTGAATCGCAATAGCCCAAATACCTAACCTAATATGATTTCAAGTTAACTTCTTCGAGAGATTAGGGATGGTGAGTCGCAACTTTTGCAATCGAACATTAATCCTTCCCCTCTGTTCATCTTTTATCAGTTGACTGTTTGAATCATTTATAGCTCTTCAAAATCTCAATTGTTAATGTCTTTCTGAGCTCAATCTTCTCATCCACCACCAATCTAACTTCTTCGAGGTAATTAAGCGCCTCTATCTCTCTTTCTTCATCTTCAATTCATGTGCTTTCTCGTTTCAGGAATTTTAATGTTTTTATTTTCTTTCTCCTTATCGTAATTTTTTTATTTTCTCTCTTTACTGCGAGATCGCTGTGCTTTCTGATTTGCATGCAGATGTTTTATTCAGTTGGGAAAATCATTTGTGGCTTTTATAATTTATAGTTTAGAATTCTATCTTTTCTGTTGTAATTAAATTGCATCACTGTGTACAAAAACATTTTGTTCCTGGAATGGAAGAAAGAAGGAGAAGAATGATGAGTTTTGGTGTCAAAACGCACCGTTTTGATAGGTTGGGTTAAGTTAACCCAACATGATTCTGTGGGACTTAATTTATTAGTTTTTTATTCAAAATCCTAGTTGAATTTGAATTTAGGGTGCTAATAATACAAAGCTTTTTAATTTGGGATGCTATGGTATTTTTGCAGCAAGTCGCATAAGTCAGAGTCTTTTTATAGGTTATGCCATAAAAAATGTGTAGGATTATCAAAATTCATAACTTTACGATAAATCTCCTGTAAAATTTAAAATACCTAAAATTCTTTATAAAAATATATATAGGTAATTTTTATATATTTTGACATAATGTGAAAACATTATTTTTAATAAAAAATTTACTTTTGCAATTATTTGGTGCAAAGTTAGAATGATATGTATAAAAAAAATTAATTTTTGAGCATTATTACTTTTGGAATTAGGTGGCAACTCAACATTGCTCGACTAATACTCCTTTCTATTTTTAAAAGTGAAAATAATATCTAAAGTTTACTATACCCTCATTTAATATATATATTTTTTCACAAATATAATAATCAAACTATTATATTATCATTAATTAAATCTTGATAGAGGGAAAATTAAAATACTATATCCGTTCGGTAAATTTGAGCATTTTTGAATCATCATAATTATATAAAAAATTAACATTAATTAAATCTTGATAAAAGGCAAAATTAAAATACTCCATCCGTTCGGTAAATTTGAACATTTTTTAATCATCATAATTATATAAAAAATAAAGATTATTGATTAAATTATCTTTAATCATTCATTTAATTGAGACAAAGTTTAAGGCAATATCTAGATAAGAATAAAATTGAAATAAAATAATGAATGCTATTTTAATTTTTAAAAGTGTGATTTAAATAAATAAAAAAAAAAACTGTTATCGGAATAAATAAATTATTAACCTTTAATTTTCTAATGAAATTATATTCAACTAAATATTTAATTATAATTTGATTAATTTCAAAAATAATTTAATGTAAATTGTTTAATTTAAATGAATATTAATACTGCTATGAGGTATATCGGGAAAGAACAAATATTAGGATAGTCGGTTAAGTTTTCTCTCTCATCGTCAAAACGAGGGGATCCGTCTTTGGTAGAGAGGAGCCAAAACCCTAATTCGACTGAGGGCTCGTGAGTATTCAATTATTGCCAGTATTCAATTATTCGATCCATCGACGAAATTTCGTTGTTCTTCTTATCAATTGGTTGATTTATTTATTTATTTTTGTCTGCTTTGTGCTTGGTTCGTTGTCATTGATAATTTCTGTTCTTATGATAATTTGATTAGATAACGTAACAGTGTCTTCCATTAGCAAGTAAGAAGCATTGTACTTCATTCGTTATCGTTGAGGTTTAATTTTAGGCAAAGATTTCGTGAATTTCTGCTTTCCATTTTAGATTCAATCTCCTCTTTAGGGTTTGTATTTTATGCTTTTGTTTAGCTTGAACTAATCTGCTGGAAGTTGTTATCTGCAGGGTTTGTTTTATATCAGACAACTGAACTGTTAGGGAATCTGTAGAATTTGTGTTTCTTTTGTCATTGAGTTGTTACTCAATGCCGGGCACGCCAATTTTGCTTCTACCAGCTCCTGATGGAGATATCTCTGATATTCCTCCTTCTCAAGTGACAGAACAGAAGCTGCCCAACGAAGATGATAAAACTGCAAATGAGGAGCAGAGCAAAGCTCCAGTTGCAACCCACACAAGAACTATTGGAATCATTCATCCCCCTCCTGATATTAGGAATATTGTGGATAAAACTGCACAGTTTGTTGCCAAAAATGGACCTGAGTTTGAAAAGAGGATTATTGCCAATAATGCTAACAATGCCAAGTTTAATTTTTTGAATTCTTCGGATCCTTATCATGCATATTATCAACATCGATTATCTGAATTTCGTGCCCAGAATCAATCTTCTGCTCAACAACCTCCTGCTCAGACGGCAGATTCTGCTGCTGTTACTGAGTCTGCTCAATCTGCTCTTACTACTGATGGTGGTGAAACTGTTGTAAAACCTGACCCTGCCGCGCAGTTTAGACCACCTCCTCGTAAGGTTCTTGAACCCCCAGAAGGTGAACAGTATACCATTCAACTTCCTGAGGGGATCACAGGAGAGGAACTTGATATTATTAAGCTCACAGCGCAGTTTGTGGCTCGAAATGGCCAAGCATTTTTGACTGGATTGACTAATAGGGAGATAAACAATCCCCAGTTCCATTTTTTGAAGCCAACTCACAGTATGTTCACATTTTTTACTGGTCTGGCCGATGCTTATTCAAAAGTTTTGATGCCTCCAAAGGGGTTGACTGAAAAACTGAAAAAAAGTGTTGTTGACATGACGACTGTGCTTGAGCGGTGCTTGCATCGCTTGGAGTGGGAACATTCTCAAGAGCAGGCAAGACAGAAAGCTGAGGATGAAATTGAGCAGGAGAGAATTCAGATGGCCATGATCGATTGGCATGATTTCGTTGTGGTTGAGACCATAGACTTTGCTGATGATGAGGATGAGGACCTGCCCCCTCCTATGACTCTTGAGGAGGTTATAAGGAGGAGCAAGATTTCGGCTA